AGAAAGTATAGTCGGGCGTGGCCGACCATATGATACCCTACACCAGTTATGAATATTAAATGTGATTTATTTTTCATAATAAAGCATTTATCTTCAATATTCCATTGTTCCGATACATTTAAGCAATTTATGGATGAAAAACTAATTTTCTGAAAGAGGCTTTATATGGGGGCTAGGGGCATTTATAGACCAAGACCGATAAAATTTTGTGAATATATTTATATTTACATTATATTTTATTGTGCTGAATTTTATCGCGATATTTGTGTTTATAAGTTAATTTGGGATATTCAAGTAATTTTCTGAAGGGGACTTTGCATGCGAGCTATGGGGCCCGATCTTTATGAAATTTGGCAGGGTCATCAAGACTTCTATAAAACTTAGTTGTGCCGTATTTTATCGATATATCTGTATATTTAACATAATTATGAGCTCAGAAGCCCTTTTCGGGGGGTTCTGTTCTATGGGGGCAAGGTGAAATAATGGACCGATTTTAACCATTTTCAATAGGCTTCGTCCTTGGGTCAAATAAAACGTGCGTGCCAAATTTCATCCAATTATCTTGAAAATTGCGACCTGTACCTTGCGCACAAAGTTTACATGGACAGCCAGCCAGACGGACGGACGGACGGACATAGCTTAATCGACTCAGAAAACGATTCTAAGCCGATTGGTATACTTTAAGGTTTTTGTATGTTACAAACATCAGCACAAATCCAATATACCCTCCCCCACTAAAGTGGTGTAGGGTATAAAAACACACAGGCGCGGATCCACAGAAAGAAAAAAAAATATTTTGTTTGCTTCAATAGATTTTATAAAATTAAAAAAATAACAATCATTGAAAATTTGCTGCAAAAATTTTAATTTCCTTAAAATAGTTTTTACTGAGATAAATTGTTTATGTATTGTATTTTTATTAAAAATCCTCAAAGTTCATAAAGAATATTGTCGAAATCCTCTATAGTAGTCGCTACGTATATTGGAGTGGTCCAGTTTGTCTGGAGATTGTCGATTTTCCTTACTAAAATTCGAAGATACCGTTTTTAACAAAATTTTTATTTCACATTCGAAATTACATTATTATTTCCTGTTTTTTCATTTAAAATTGTTCCAATTTCAAACTGTTTTGTTTCGAAATAAATGAAACATTTCAACAGTCCTTTTCTGAAATTCAAATGAATAATATTCCTGCAGGAAATGGAACTAGTAAAAAACTAGTATTTTACTAATACAAGTTCCCAACTGTAAACTTCCTATACCATCTTAATGCTCAAATTAACATTGATCGTGTTTCAAAAATTACTAATTTTAGACTTATACTAACTAGTACAATTGGACCCAATTGGGTGCTTTAAAACCACTTAATTACTAGTTCTAATGTTCACAAAAAGTCCTCATAATTGGTCATTTTACTACTTTGCAATCCTCCTACTTGGTTCCAAGTATAAAATACTACAAAATTAATTTGTATATTATTTTATTTATAAAAAATTAAATTAAATAAAAAATTTTGTAAATACATTTACCTTCTATAATGCAAGTTAAAATTTTGAAGAAATTACTATATGGTTTCTATCCGCACCACCAATGTACATATCGTGGATTATACATATAATGTCCACAAAATTGCCTTAAATACATTTGCGTATGATCAAATAAATATGAAACTCATTGCAATTTTTAAACTTAACAGACGTACTTACATAGGGCTCTGCATGCAAGTGGACTTAAACCTCTTTTATCCTCTGATTTGAAAAGAAGTTGTTGTAAATTTCCTTCATTTTATATAAAAACTTTGAAAAATCAGTTACAAAATTTGAACGCAAAGCTTCATAAATTAAAAATTGTAAAAAGCCCAGTCGCCATTTGAAATAAATTTTGAAAAACTGTTGTCTATAACAAATAAATTTATATTGTCTGTTGAGTAGTTAAAAAAATCGAAAAACTGAGATTTTCAACATAACCCTCTCCGATTTCAGTGAAATTCGGTACAATCATTCTTCGTATAAATACGAAATTTAAATTTCTCCAAAATTTTCAAATACATACTTTACGGTTTAGATTTTATCGATGTTGAAAGTTCATATTTTTTAAGATTTTTTTCAACAAGCTTTTGACATGGTCTATTTTCTAAATTAATCACGTTATTATATATCTTTGGGGCATTTTAAAAATTTTCGAGCAGGTTTTGTATCTTACCCTTTCTGATTTTGATGAAACTTGGTACACCCATTCTTTCTATAAATTCGAAGTTTAAAGTTCTCCAAAATTACCAAATTCTTCACGGTTTAGATTTTATTAATGTTCAAAGTTCAAATTTTATAAGATTTTTTCGTTTTTAATCGTTTATTGTTGAGTACACTATAAGCAGTCTTATGTGAAGGAATACAAAAATGGAATGGAATCATATATCCTTGACTAAAGGACGTTTTATGATCAATAAAGACGTTTTAATAAACTATACCGCCAGACATTGTCTATTATGTTGCATTTTAGGACTTTTTACTTGTGGAAATGACTAATTTGCTGTTACGAATTTAATTTCATTAAAGTCGGTACTTTTGACAATAGGGTTCTAAATATTTGCAACAACATGTATTTTGATGTAGGGGACCATTTTCAATAGAAAAGTCGATTTTAAATTTTTTGCTTGTTTCGTCCACAGGATGCATCCTCGTGGTCAACTATAACTTTTAGGCGATTAATGGGCAAACTATTCCCACCTTAAAGTATACAGATCGACTCAGAATCACTTTCTGAGTCGATTTAACGATGTCCGTCCGTGTTTCCATGTAAACGTTGTTATCAAAGTACAGGTTGCAATTTTCAAGATAATTTGATGAAATTTGGATTACAAGTTTGTTTTGACGATGCCTATTTAAAATCAGTCCATTATTTCACCTAGCCCCCATACAACTGAACCCCCCGAAAAGGGCTTTTGAGCTCATAATTATATATAATATAAATGTATCTCGATAAAAGTTCGCACAAATAAGTTTTATTGTTCACACAAATAAGTTTTATTGTAAGGCCTTGATGACCTTGCCGAATTTCGAAATGATCGGACTTCATTTGACCCTAGTGAAATTTAGCATAGACAAATATTATATAAATGCAAATCTATCCTATTTTATCGGGATCGGTCCACATTTGCTCCTCTCCTCTTTTAGAAAATTAGTTTTTCGTCAATAAATTGCTTAAATAAATCGAAATCAGGGTAATATTCAAGGTAAAGTAAAATATCAACGTAAGATTTGCAACACAAATAATGGATAATTTACTTTAGAAATGAGAGATTTGGTAAATTTTTGTTATTACGAAAAAATTCTATTTTTGTCTGTTTTTATTCAACGTTTTATATCTTATTTTATTCATAAAAGTATGAGCTAAAATAAAAACTATTTAAAAAATATGTTTTCAAATAAAGTGTGGGTCAAAAATTATCGTGAATCGTAAAAAGAATTTTAAAAAATATAAAAGATTGTATTTAGATCTAAATATTTTACTCATTTTTATAAAAAAAATTATAAAAGAGTGTGCACTTTTTGAAACGTACAAAGGAAACTATTTTCGAAACAATTTAAAAATATGAAATCGGTTAAGAAAATTTTGAGATATAATTTTTTTAGTCTGTCTACTCAAAAAAAGCGTTTTTTTCCTATCTTTCGATTTTTAGGGTATATTGAAGATTTTCAAAATTGTACTGTAATATACTCTACTCTACCTACAAATTACAATGGGTCTCGCGATGAGTGTATTGATTTTTTGTAATTTTGTCACACCGTGTTATTAAAATTCAAACATGACTGCGTTTGTAATTATCAAGGCGACTAATTATTATGCTAAATACTAAATTTCCATGGACAAAACAACAATCAGCTGTTTAAATAACTTCACCTTATTAGTTTCGCCATGATTTTACGGCGAATTCATTAATTTTTTATATATGGATTTTTTTATATGCAGTTTGACAGTGTCGGGCTAAATTTTCATGGACAAAAAACAATCAGATGTTGAAATGACTTCACATTACTGCAATTATTTTATATATATGCTCTCTGAAAACAAAAGAATGCATTTTTTACATTCCAAATATAGTTTAGTCCTAATAAGGTGAAGTCATTTCAACAGCTGATTGAAGCTGTTAAACTCCAAAAAAAAATTTTCTCTCAAAACCGATGCTGTCAAACTCCATATATAAAAAATTTAATGTATTCGCCGCAAATTGACTTCACCAATATGAAAATTTGTTTTACAAAACTGAAAATCTTCTAATATGACTTTAACGGGAGGCCATCTTATATACATTACGTTATAGGTCTTCTTAAAAACCTTCAGCGAAAGACCTTCTAATAGGCCTACAACAGAAGACCTTTTAGGCCTTCTTAAGTAAGCCTTCTATCAGCCTTCTAACAGAAGCGAGAAGGCAAGCACTTATGCCTGTGTCTGCAAAACATGCACTTTTTTTGATGAAATTTTCAGATGTTCTCTTGGATTTTTTCTCATATATCCATTATTTATGGACTGGAAATAGGAAACTTCTCGAAACATCCCGAAGATATCTGTACCTCGTTTCTGTAATTTTCTCGAATCGAGAAAAAACATAGCAGTTTTTAACAGTGTGACTCTGATTATTTTTAAACTGTACTCATTAAAATTTAATAAGAAATTTTTAAATTTCTTGTTTTCACCCTGTTTTACACAAGGTGATCGTGAATTTTTCGACAGATTTTCTCGATGCGAGAATTGCAGAAACGGGGCACTGGGGTCTTAAGAAAATTGATTTCAATATACACACAGACAGACGGACGGACAGACAGACAGATGGACAAGGCTTAATCGACTCCGTCTTAATATAAAAATATTTTATCAAGAAATAAAGATAAAGAAACACAAAAGTTTATAAATCGAAAATAAGCGGATTACTGAAGGAAAATATTAAAAATGAAAATATTAACGGAATTCCATTATTACATTTCCATTTACACGATACTTACCAAGAATTGCAACTACCATTTCGTCTTTTATAACTTCCATGGAACCGTTACACAGATAATATATATAGTTGAGAGCATCACCCTTATGTATAAGATATTCTCCGGGAGCACAAAAATTAGTTTTTATATGTAGAGAAAGCAATTTGAGACAACCCTAAAACGTAATTTATTCTTCTAAATTGAAAGTTTTACTTAGTTGAAAAACTTACTTGGGATGCACCCTCAAAAATAGGCAGTTGAAGAATTTCTCGATGTAAATGCATTGAAACGTCTCCTCTCAGTTCCTCAGGAAATTCTCGTAATGTCTTAAAAAAAAAATCAAATAATTTTAATTCAAACTTTAAATTTATTATCTGCAGTTAATTAAAGCTGGCCATACACGTTGGATATGTGTGTGCGACTTGTTGAATGCCAATTCTTCACAGACGTCGAACATATCATATTAAATTAATAAATAGGTCTGATCCTTTAGTTCTTCAGTATAAAATTTATTTTGATAACAAAAATTTAATTTTTGAGATGTTAATTTTTTTTTAACAAATTGTAGTTTTATTATTAAACAAACATCCAAAATAGTTGATGTCCTTTGTATATTATATCAGAATTTGGCAAATCTATTGTAATATGTACTAGCACAAGCCCACATACATATCGAATGTTGCAAGTAATTTAAATCCCTACAAAAATTAGGAAGATATCTTCCATAGAAGATGTAAAAGCAATATCTGCATTTTTTCATTTGGAAGAAAATCATCAAAGCAATATTTTTATATCAAAAAGTTATCATTTAAACAAAATTTCACTTTTTTCACTCTAGAATAATTGCTTTCGTATTGTTTAGAAGTGTCGCCTCTGACACAAACTCTCCCGAAGGGAGTATCTTCCGCAATACGAATATGATTGTTGCCGCAACAAATTTTTTCTTCTAAATAATAAGAATTCGTACCGTATTCGTATCGCTCATTAGGATATTTTTTAAAAATCGATGTGGGATTTTATTGGTGAGCACCCCACTAAAATGTTTCATTTTGTAAGATTTTAGATCGCCAAAGTTTGAGCACGATTGAAAGATGTGCACTAAAGTGATCGCAAAAAGTCGATGTTGGAATTTTGTTCGTCTTAACTCCACAAAATGATTCCCCTTTCCAGATATTGAGATAGCCGAAATTTAAGCTGGATTAATAAACGTGTTTGTTTGAAAAATCCAAATATATTATAATATATATATAATATTTATATATATTTCAAAAATTTTAAATTTCTTTAACAAAGATTTAAAAGAACTGAAAATGGAGTTTTGAAACTGCCGTGTAAAAAAAGATTTTTTTTGATCATAGCTGAGAACAGGTCCACGATATCTTTTAAGTATAAAAACTTATTTTCGAGTAAATATAGATATATTTTATGTAATAAAATAATTTTATTAGAATATTTTCCAAAATAAGTTAAATATTTTTCCACATTTCCTAATCAAGTGCTCTGAGACACGTTAATGGCCTGGGAAATTTTTAATAACATTTACATTTTCCATGTACATTATGATTCTTTAACAATAATATGTAAAATATTTACCTAATAGCAATATTTATCACATAATATCAAAATATACGAAGTATGACCCTACCGCGATCAGGTAACGTTTTTGGAGACAAAATCTGTTGTAACTCTGTTTGACTTAAAGTAACAAGAATTATCTATATATATAATCTATATATTATATATCTATATATATAAAAATCAATGTTTAATCTATATATTATATATCTATATATATAAAAATCAATGTTTGTTTGTTTGTACCTTATAGGAGGCTGAACCACTGAAGCGATCTTCTTGAAATTTTCAGTGTATGCTCCCCAATATCTGGAAGGAACTATGGGCTACAACCAGAGTCCTCAAATTTTTTATGGACAATTATGACATCCATATGATAATTTGGTGGAAAAATTGAAGGACTAGCTATAGGAGCAATAGTGGGCGACGTGCCACGCCCACATTAAAAATAAGTATTAGAAGTCGCATATCTCAGAAACTGCAAGAGTTGGAGTCCTCATATTTTGGATGGGCAACTTTGACATCCATAAAAATATTTTTGGACAAAATGGGCGGAATGCCTATAGTGGGCGTGGCACCTTCCATATGAAGATCAGATCAGTATATCTGAGAAAATATAACAGAAAGAGCACCTCCCATATGAATAAAATAAAAAAAAATCGCTTATCTGGGAAACGATTAGAGTTAGAATCTTCAAATTTTGCATGAAGAACTTTAACATCCATGTAAGCATAAATTAGCGGACTACCAATGGGGGGACATTGCTCCTCCCATATGAATAAAATATACAAAAAAAATCGTTTAATTGGGAAACTAATAGAGCTAGCTTCTTAAAATTTTGCACGAAGAACTTTAATATTCATATGACTATTTTGGGGAAAAAGGGCGGACTTTTATAAGGAGGGGCTTGGAATGCCCCATATGAATTAAATAGATAAATTCGTATATCTGAGAAACTATTAGAGGTAAAATCCTTAAATTTTGCAAGAACAACTTTGACACCCATTGAACATTTGAGTAATAATTTGGCGTTGTCGTTTGTCTGGGAAACTAATAGGCCTAAAATCTTCAAATTTTGCACGAAGAAATTCAACATTTATTTAAACATTTTGAGGACATTTATTAGGGGGGTTAGAACTTCCCATATGGTTAGGTTAGGTTAGGTTGATAGGAGGATGTATACTACATCAAATCCGAAGAAATACACCTAGGCCACTATCGGGCCTGTTGTGCGCTCCAATTCAAGAAAGAAAAAAAAATTGTTCACTGAATGTATTATTTTTCCATGTTCAGAAACTCAGTTTCCTGGACGTAATTCCTAAGAATCTTCCAATCGGTATTGGTTAAGAATGTTATTTCCGGAATAACATCACTTCCAAGATACTTGGATCTAACTTCGACGAATGCCTGACAATGGCAAAGAAAGTGCTCCAGAGTTTCACTGTCCTCTCCACATGCTCTACATTCGTCTGAATTCGCACGTCCAATTTTGTATAGATGTGCTCGTAATCCTGTGTGTCCACTGAGAATACGTACCATCATACTAACCTCAGACTTGCTCATTTTGAGAAGATTTCTCGTCTTGCTCTCATCAGGGTCACCCCATAGAATCTTTGTGGTTCTACCCACCGTTTCATTATTCCAAGAGGCCTTATGGGATTCTCTCATCCATATTTTTAATTCAGCTTTTGTTGCGTCGAATGGTTTGGCGTTTGCCAGGTTAACTACATCGAGCTCCCTTCCCTTTAAAGCTATTACATTCCCCATTTCGTTGCCGATTACTCCCGAGTGGCCTGGTACCCATATGATGTGAACCTTACCTCTGGGAGAGTATTCAGTTAAAGCTTTCTTACAATCCAATACGGTCTTAGATTTAATTCTATCACCTGATATCGCACAAATTGCCTTCTGGCTGTCGGTAAATATATTAAGCCCTGTGGGCGCCATATTTATTCTAATCCAATTTACACATTCCGTTATTGCTCGTACTTCTGCCTGGAAGCTTGTGTTATGATTAGGTAAACGGTGGTATATTTCTGTTTCTGGGTCTTCAATATAGAACCCCAGACCCACTTTGTCCCCTAATTTAGAGCCATCCGTGTAGCAACGGATTCCCACTGGTATTTGCTCTAATGTTCCGCTTGACCAAGACATTCTATCTGGGATTAGCGTTTCAAAGTTTCCGACATATTCTGTGTCTGGTATGCGATCAGGCACGTCCGATGAATGTGTATAACCTTCCAATGTGTCCAGTATACATTGATGACGTGTCCTATAACCGTTTTTGGCCAGTTCGCCTAAAGTAAAGAGCCGTTCGGCTGTAAGCGCCGCCTCATATCTTATATATGTTTCAATGGGTGGAATATCTAGCAACGTTTCCAGAGCCTTGGTTGAAGTAGTACACATGGCACCACTTATACCCAAGCAGCATGTACGCTGAACTCCCTGTAGTAGTTTGATATTACACTTTTTGTCCAAAGCAGTCCACCAGATTATTGAAGCATAAGCTAGAATTGGTCTAATTACACTTTTATAAAGCTAATTTGTCATAGTAGGACTAAGACCCCATTTCATGCCTATGATTCTCCTACATATCGCCCAGCTCCGATGTGCCTTGTTGATCCTATCCTCTATGTGATGTTTCCATTTTAATTTCCGGTCAAGTATTACACCTAAGTACTTAACTTTGTCTGTCACCGGTATCTTCTTGCCCAGAAGCAAGGTTCAGTATACGTAGAAATTTTTGTCTTTCTTGTGAAAAGACAGATTTCCGTCTTCGCCGGGTTAACATTGAGGCCTCTCGGTTGAGCCCAGCTCAAGGCCGTATTCAGAGCCTCCTCAGCTCTTCTACACAAGTAATTTGGATCCTTTCCCTTTAAAAGTATTACGACATCGTCTGCATAGCAGACAGGTCTAAGTCCTTTCTCGGTTAGGGTCCTTAGGAGGCTATTAATCGTGGTAACCCAGAGTAAAGGTGACAAAATGCCACCCTGTGGTATACCGCGAAATACCTTTTTCCTGATAGTTATATCGTACATCTCGCAGCTTATCCATCTGTTCCTTAGCATGTAGTTGATCCAGTTACGGAGCACCCGGTCAACATAAAACTGGTCTAGGGATTGGATAAGGGTATCAGTGTGCACGTTATTGAAAGCGCCTTCGATGTCAATGCATACTGCCAGTGTATACAGTTTGCTATCGAAAGATTCACCTATGTAGTGGACAACTTCCTTTAAAGCGGTTTCCACCGATCGTCCCTTTACATAAGCATGCTGCTTATATTTAAGGTCATTGTATGGTATGCTGCTTTTAACCATGCTATCGACTATCCGTTCCAAGGTTTTAAGTAGGAAGGACGTAAGACTTATCGGTCGATAGGACTTAGGTGTCGCATAGCTAGGTTTCCCTGGTTTGGGTATAAATATTACCCTTGCATCCTGCCATTTAACTGGGGTATATGCCAATTTTAATCATGCAGTGAATATCTGTGACAGATGTACGGAAACCAGTCCCGCCTCCATCTGCAAAAGTGCCGGAAAAATTCCATCCGGCCCTGCAGCTTTATAGGGAGCAAAGCTCTTGATTGCCCCTTTAACCATGTCAGTTGTAATAACTATTTCCGTGTTACCCTCCCCTTCCTCCAATATCGGTTCATCTATGTTATTCGATATACCGGGTGGGAAATGAGAATCCATTAGGAGTTTCATTGTCTCCTCCATATCCTCAAGCCTCCTGCCCGCGTCATCGATCA